CCCCCCCCCCCAGCAAACAGCTAGGTATCCATCATACAGCTGTAACAAGTGATGTAAAGTGTCTTGCTCAAGGATACAACAGCGTGACGAGGGCCAGCCTGGAATTCGCGACCACTAGACTACGAGCCCCCAACGAAACTACCGAGCCATACCCGCCCCTGTAGAGGAACTTGTTTAAATAAAATAGTACGATTTTTTTTATATGACGTAGCGAAAAGTGGAGGAAAACAGTGACAATAAGTTAAAAACCGACCTAAAACGTTCTCCTTTAATAACTGTGTGTTATACTTACTGCCGAACCTAAACGCTGTACTTTGAAAAAAAAGACGTTTTGTCATTAATAAACTCTATTGTTCTGGAGATTGTGTCGCTTATCGGCTTATTAGATGAATAAATATTTTATATACTTTGAAAGTCGTGGTTAAAAGTTGATAAAATGATGAATATATAATGAACATACCTGCTAGAAGGATTCTTCGTTGGAGACAACGTTTCGCGTTTTGATACAATTTCGTGGATCTTCCAGCAGTTTGTCCATTATAAATCCATTACAGCAATATTTTGTGTTCTTTGAAAGCCATGATTAACAGCTGTTAAAATGATGGATTTATAATGGACGAAAGAACTCTTGGAAACGATGTTTAGATAGACTTTCGTGGATATTCCACCAGTTTGTACATTATAAAGACAAAGGAAAACGTTTTCCGTAGGAATTTTTAGCATTTTTATAAAATTTTAATCTATCGATAACGTATTACTCCTAAATTCAAGTTTAATTTATTTTGAAGCTCCAATATTATTGTAATAAATAATTACATTTTACAATTAATGATTATTCTTCGGCCCCCTGAGTGGGGCATTATGATTCCAGCAAAGTCTTAGTTTCTGTTCTCTTCCTTGTAGAATACGTTTTAAGGAAGAGACTGACAGTCGTAGAGCATTTTCATTCTCATTTAGAACCGATGAAGTTCGTTAAGCCTAACAGTATTTCTGAGCAGGTAAGTTTGGTGTATTATCCGTAGAACTTGCCTATTGATTCACCTTACAGCTTAATTAAAAATTGTGACCAATCGTAATATGAATGGAAGATCCCAGAAAACTTGAATAATCAAAAGGCACAGTAGAAAATAAAATAAAATAAAGTACGGAATAATACGTTTACAATTGTATTAATATGTCCTCCGGGAAAGACAATGTTTTCATACCAAGCAGCTGTAAAGAGTATTTTTTTTTTTAGATCTGCCGATTTTTTTCTCGGCAATTATAACCCATGCCGATTAAGATAAGAAAAATGTTCAGATATAACCTAAAGGCGATCTCAAAGTTTCCAGTCGCTTTTATCAACAGATATAACGAGCAAGTTATTTTCCTTTTGTTTTGACTGCATAAAAGCTGAGCTGTTTTGTCGTGAAAAGTTTTGACCATATCAGCACTAATTCAGAGAAAATCTAGAATGATATCTTTATCCATCAGTCATATGTTTGTATATATTGTGTGATATCTTTTATGAATGTTTGTGATATTTTAGTTGTTTTTTGCAACTCAGCGTAACGAACCTCAAAACCTGTTCTTTCATAAATTCAATCATAACTTATGGCAAAAAAAAAACTACTTTCTTTTGCAAAATACTGAATGCTTGAAAGAGATCTCGTGCCTTGTATAAGTTATCAACGTTATAGAAATATCTAAAACTGAAGGATGTTTTTTGGTGTTTCAAGAAAATAAGAATGGACAATTAACATTGATAAGTGTTGGATTTTACTCTGCATACGTGGGCTTTATCAAGTGATTTACATACTGCGACGCGGGTCAGAATGCCCAGGGTTCGAGCCGTGGCATGCCGCTGAACAGGACGTTTCACACTTTCACCTATAGGAACCTTTAAAATGTGATACAAGTTCAAAACGTATCCGTACTAGTGAGACTGGCGATGTTGACAGTGTGCTTTGAAGAGATAAATCATTTATTAAAGGTTAAGATAACGCGCGAACGTGTAAGCACTCGAACAGAATGCCATTATTTAAATATAGCAATCAGAAATTTTCATACACAAATATCTAACAGAAATATAGATGTGTTGTAAAAAAAATGTCAGCTTCTCATAATTTAAAATACCAACAAAAAATTTCATCTCGCAGTATACGATCATTTTTTTTTTACGTTTTTTCACCAGATTACCTTCAGTTATTCCAAGTTCGGAAGTGAGCTGAACGTTTTATCTATTAAAGGATTTGATTCAAAGATAGATCCAACCAGGTAAGAAAGAAGTTAGATGTTGTACCATGCTATTAACGTCTATTTTAATAACTTATGGTTTAAAACACCAAAAATCTGTAAGAAAGCTAACTAACTTCAAGGAGTAATGAATGATAACGTCTTTTACAGTAGAATTATGATTTTTTTTTAAATTACTACTGGTTAATAATGCTTATAAAAGCGGATACTCCGTTTGAAACTATGTCGCCTCAGTGAAATTGGTTAACACCACTGTTTTTGTTCTTAATTTATCATGTAATAAAAAA